TTCCTCGGGATCTCATTGTTGGCTCTTCTCTTCTAATCAGAATTTGGCATTTTGTGATTAATATAATTTTCCCGATGATATAACACAGTTGCTCGATTTTTAGTGGCAGAAGAGCTTGTTGGGTAGCTTGGAAGCTTGTTGGGAGAAATGAGTAACAATGAACTAGCTGGTGCCCTCATGTATTCAGAGGTTTCCATAATCGATGGAATCTTCTCTTTGTCTCTTTCTTGGTTGAGCACAGTCAGTTTGACTACAATTTGATCAACCATGTCATTTTGGTTTTGCAAGATACTATCTATGGTGGCTTTTTGCGCCTGCTCCATTTTAGTTTCCCACTCTACTTGCATCTTTTTCACACTCTCTTCCAGTTCTTTCTTCAGCTTCTCAAATTTGGCTTCCATTTTCAATATTGTGCGAACAAAGTTGCACAATTAGAAGCACTTCCTCAGAGTCTTCAACGAGATAAACCCATGATTCTATGATTAATACATGTAAAAAATGCTTCAATAAATGCCATGCAGAATGCGAATATGCAGATGCAAAAAAATGTGAAAATGTTTAAATAAATGCAGTGCAGGATGCAAATGTAAAAGTTATCGATTTACAAAAGTAATAATTTTTAGAAAGAATTCCATTCGTCCAAAAAGAGTTTTCATCTTTGCAAGATAGATTCATAGACGAATGCGATTTGTGATACGTAATCCACAGGTAAACTACCAAACTCGGACCACCGAATTGCGTTATTCCTTGTTATGAAAACTCTTTTCCATTTTAATGGTCACTCTTTTACTATGATGATTACTTGGTTAATCAACACCTTTCTTTTATTTATGATGATCATGCAATTCCAAACAATAATAATAAAAAAATCAAACATAGAAAATGTGTCAGTATAAAAGATTCAAATATCAAAAAAAATAAAATAATGCAGGCAAAGAGAAGAGGTTTAGAGTTGTTTCTCTTTTTTGTACACTTATTTTGGGTACCTACTGAAGGACAGAGGTTCGACATGAATTTTATCGGGGTAGGTTACTAGGGCTCACTATATGCTGTGTTGGGTTCTAAAAAAAAGGGTACTCGAATTGTCCATGTTGGTGCCTCCTTAGGCTGCTAAACCCTTAATCATGGCCCATTACAGGCTCATGCGGATCGAGTTCAATTCGAAAGGATACATTCCCTTATGTCCATGCAGAGAAACAATTTATCTCAAGTAGACATAAGGTATATAAACCCCAAAGGTTACTAGCTAAAACCCATACAGAGAAACAATTTACCTCACGTAGGCTAAGCTCTCACCTCAACTTAAAAAGGACAAAGCTCGTAAGTGAGCTTTTATTATGTAAATGTATGTGTTGTGTGTGAGGAGAAACTCATAATCTTTAAAAACATGACAAAAATAACACTCTCACAATTTCCAAAAGTTCGAATTTGAAAACCACTTAAATCAATAATCAGTTAGCTAAAAATAAAATAATGCATAATATCTTGAAACTCAAAATAAATAAAAGGATCGTAAATTAAATACAATTGAAATTTGTAATTCTCAAAAATAAAAACAACGTATAATTGTTTATGACCTAACTCTCGAAGTCTCTATCGGAGTCACCAAGCTGTCATAACGTTTCCCCGGAGAGATTCGTTAGATTTAAAAAAATTAGTTTTCAAGGAAAGACGATGAAATATGATTTTAAAAAACGATTTGATTTTGGAGTCGCCACCAACCTTTAAGTTAGGTAGGTTGGAAACCTTAAACGACAAAAAATGGTCTGCGTTTTTACCAAAGATTCATTTTTAAGAGTTCAGGAGTCGATTACGTGTGGGGAAAGGTTAGCACCCCCACAATGCCCAAATTTTGGTACCTAAACAATTATATGTTGTTTAAATATTGGGAATTACAAACTTAAAAATGTATTTAAATTATAATCCTTTTATTCATTTGACTTTTTTTTAAAAAAATCAATTTTTGGATAATTAATGTCCTTTTGTGTGAACAATCTTCGGGAAAACACTTCATTTATAGTTAGGAGACTTTCCCATAGATTCCCCTCACAAAAGACATTATTTCTCAATTTTAGTAATGATAAAATAACATAAAATAAAACAAAATAAAAATGAAAAACAGTGAAAAATAATCTAAATAAATAAACGTGGAAAAAATAAAATTATCGAATATAAAATACACATTTATACGAAAAATCCTCGAAAAGACACCTTCCCTTTAGTTGGGAGATGTCTTCGTAGATTTCCCTCATAATAATTTTCTCATTTTCGTATATTAAAACAATGATGATTGGAAACATGCAAAATAAAAATATTTACAATAAATAGAGATAAACACATTTATTTATATGTGATACAAGTGAATACGTAACATATAAAATGTACATTTATAAGGGATTGAAATAAAAACAAATGAATAATACAAACCAAACTAAAATACCAAAAAAATCACTTAAGGGACTAAAATAGTAAATAATAGAAACTTAAGGGACTAAAATAGTAAAAAAGAAACTTAAAGGACTAAAATGGCAAAACAGAAATTTAAAGGAATAAAATGGCAAAAATAGAAACTTAAAGGACTGAATCATAAATACACATAAACCAAAGCCAAAACCGAAAATATTAAATAATACAAGTATTATAAATGAAAATAATCTATAAATCATATTAGGGACAAAAATGAAATGAATAGAAAAATAAAGGATCAGATAGTACTTAAACCATACCAAGTAGTGACTAAAATAAAACATTTACAGATGTAATGGCCAGATTCAAACGTCAATAAAAATATACAACAATGCTTCCAGTGATAAAATGAAATAACTAAAAACATTTTGACCTAAGTGAAACATACACAATCATGACAAAATAAACAACTAGTGACCGAAATATAATTATGGAAAGATACAAGCCTGAAACAAGACATTAAAATTTCATTTAATGATCAAATCAAGAGATTACAAAGATGTAGGGACCTATACTGTGATTTACCTAAACATTAAAAAACACGCGTGTGAGATTTTAGATTTACAAAGACCAAAGTTACTATTAGCCCCAAAATTTCAAAAAAAACACGGAGAGATATGAAACAAAACTACGTCGTTTTGCAATTAATATGTATATATATATTATATAATCCAAGACCAAAATGGCCTAAGCCTCCCATTTGGTTTGGATTCCAGTAACGAAGAGAGAGTTGAGAACTCTCTCAACACCCCATCGGGGAAGGAAAAAATGGCAGCTGCTGGCGAAGCTCGCGGCGGCCAGAGATGGTAAACCACCCTAAATGATTCTCCTTAGCCTCCTCTACCCGAAAACAACCCCTAATAAGCCTAAAATGCCTAAAGCCTCCTAGATCTATCATATACCTTTCGAAAGCTTTGAACTCCGACGACCACTCGACTTCCCGACATTTCTCCGACCAAGGTATGTTCCTCTTTTCCTCTTTTTTTTTTTCTTTTCTTTGGGTGTTTGATTCGAATGTGATGGAGGGTTTTTTTTTCTTATCTCGATTTCTTTCTTTTTTTCTCTGTGTATTTTTTTGAACTTGAATGCTCTCGTCTCTCTTTCTTTCGAAACTCAACCCCTCATCTTTTCTTTCTGTTTCTTCCTTCTTATCCCTTGCATGTGATTGATCTCTTTTTTTATGCTCGAGAAGATTGATGGATTTGAATGCTCAGTTTGTAGGGAAATACTACCCTAGGTTCTAGGATAAGATTTGCTATAGATTTATTATGACTTGGTGTGATTTTTCGACTAATTGATGGTAGATTTGTCATTATTTGATGGGTTTGTGTAGATCGGCTCTGACGGCGGTGGCGGGGAGAGTGAAATCCGGCTCGAACGACGGCTGGTGTTAGCGACGGCAACTGAATTAGCTAGGGTTTTAAAACCCTAACTGACTGGGTTTATTTTTAGGCTTGGACTGAGTCGTCTTCGGGTCGGGTATGGGCTCCAACTGAGTTGGGTCGGTTTACTGGGCGGGTCACTGCTGGTGGGTTGCTGAACCGGGTTCCAGTTGGATCTGGGTTGATGGGTCACTCGAGTAGGCCTGGGTCTGGGTAATCTGTGTTGGGCCTCATTTGGGTCACTGGTTGGCGCAAACATTTGTAATGTAATTTTTAATAATAATAATAATAATAATAATAATAATAATAATTAAAATGATATTTTTGTAGACCCGGACAAAAATGAGTGTCTACAATTTTAAGTTTTTATAGCTGAAAATGAGATACTAACGTGTTATGTCATTTTGTACTAACGGTAGGTAATGGACAGAAACAACATAGATCATATTTCAAACTAACTAAAAGTTAGATAATTATATTATAAATTTTAAAAGTTAGATAACCAAAATACAAACGTCCTAAAAATTTGAAGATTATTTATATACTTTACTTTTTTTAATTTATCGAAGAAGCATACATGCCACAAATGTCACTTTTAAACTCAAAACCTTTACGGAAAATAACATTTTCTTGTACGACTAAAATCAATTGATGAATTCAAGTTTCAGATACTAACATATATCATTATACTACGTATCAATATGTATTACTAATTAGTTTTCTTTTATCTTATATAACAATTTTTTTATTAAACTAAGATGATTATAAAATAATATCTTTTTTAAATACTCTCAATTATTTAACAATTAACACATAATCATCCTATTACAATCGTTTATGTTTAAATATATGAGTTTTAAAATCAACAATAATTTTTTTAATCACTACGATAAATTAATTTGTTCTTATACGACAGTTGTTGTAAACTCATCTGGATACTGCGCAGGTTTAGTTATTGTTCGGTTTCAATGTACACCATGAGAGGGTAATTTTGACTTTTGAGGGATCGGTATGGATAATTTCGTAAATCCACTTTTCAATTTAAATTCACCAGAAATTTGCCGAGCGGGATTTTTCAAAATTGAGTGTTGTGTCTTCAACTCCCCCTCTGCTGGCTCCATGCTAACTCTTTACCTCTTCATGAAACCACGATCCCAGATTTGAAATTCTTTTCTACCTAATCAGCTGTGAGCTCTCCTTGTAAGCATTTGAAATGAACGGATCTTGTTTGGAATTAGAGAACCCGATCCGAGACGCCATTTCCAGGATCCGATTCGCTCCTCAATCTAACAACCTCCTCATTTCTTCTTGGGATTCCGTTAGTAATCTTCTCTGATTTTTATTTCGTTTTTTTTTCATCTGGATTGCAATTATTTGCACCTGATTTTGTTTCTTTAATTTGTAACAGAGTCTTCGACTGCTTGAGGTGGATTGTTCTCAGCTCAGACTAGAAGCTTCATCCGAGGCTGCGCTTCTTGACTGTTGTTTCCAGGATGAATCTGTCGCCTTCAGTGCTGGCTCTGAGGGTTCTATTACAAGGTTTTTCATTTTAATTGCTTGAGTGTATTCAAATTTTTTATTTAAGCTATTACATGAGTGGTTTTCTTTTTTAATTAAAGGTTTTGCTGCTAAATATTGGTTAAGAGCATGAAATATATGACCTCTTTATCTTGTAAATCCAAGATTCTCTAAATATGGAAATCCTTTTTATTTTTAGGTATGATTTGCAGTCTGGAATCAGCAATAAAATTGGAAATCATGATGATATGGTAACCTGTGTGGAATATTCTACTGAAACACGTAAGTTGGTTACCTCATTCCTATTGCGATTCAACTTGAGCAACATTTTGTGTCAATATCTTACTTAGTGATACTGTGAGATCTTGAATAACGTTGCATATATTGAACATATACAACAAGAGACTTTGTCTTATTTTTATGCACTGTAGCTTTACTTTGTCATGTTTCACTCGTCAAATGAATGTGCTTTGTTTTAAAAGGTACCTGATTGTTTTCATGCACTTTACGATTGTAATTTGTAAACAAGTAATGATGGTTAGTGTTTACATTTCTGTAATTCATCTAGCTATGAAACTAAATGTTGTACCATTACCTCGAACCTTCTACAAACCTTTTAACATAGGTTCAGAAATGTCAGAGAGAACTCAATATAATATTCTTAGTACAAGAGACGGATTCTCAACTAATATTATCAGTACAAGAGATACGAATTCTCATCCTATACTAGTTGTAGCACTCCCCATACAATATTCTCCCCGACTATTCTCTCCCTTAAATAATCTTCATTGGTTACTTAATACTTACCGTAAACACAACCTTGAAACTCTCAATAGCAAAGTTATAATGTTTCTCAAATAAGCCCATTTGTTTGAAATAATAAAATGTTCTCTCATATGATGCAATCAAAGTCCTAGTCGAAACTCGACACAAGTAACCCTTTAAAGAGGCATCATGCATTCTGTGTACAGCTTGGGACAGATCTCTTTTTTAATTGGGTCTCTTTAATTGCTGGATATTTTATCTCGGAGCTATTCAAATATTCTTTCTCAATAAGAAACCTTACATAAAGTCTTTACTTATTGTCTTATTGAACAAGTAAATTTGGCTTTGTAAAATAGAGTTACTTGGAAAACAAGGTCTTCTTCCATTAATGTAAATCTTCCAGAACAATCTCGTATTTTTATTTGGTTAAATGAAAAGTCTGCCCAAATAATGAAACTTTGTGATAGACTAACCCAAAGTTTTCGGTTTCTAAATCAATAAGGATTCTATGAAATAAGTTTCTTATTTGTCTTCAAAAACACGTTATACAATATGAAATAATACTATAGAAAATCACAGCTCAATAAGAAAACATGCCAACAAAATAGATTTAAAAAGTTGTAGTCGAACTATCCAGTCCTGCTGCATACACCCAGTGGGTACCGTCTCAGCCACTAGTGAAAAACAAAATTAGTTATACAGCTTTTTGCACCAACAAAAAGTAATGTCTACCGAGGGCAATTTGTCTGCAATTTTGAACCTCTTTATTTTTTGGAAGCTTAGAACAGTTGAAGAGAATGGTTCGTGCATCGAGTTTATATTGTTCTGTGACGTACTACCCTGCATGTGATGAGCAACTGAGTATTTTGTTTCTCTTGTTGTTACATAAGCTGGGGCTTTAACAGGGCTGTGATAAAGAAGTTTTAGTTGATTAATAATTTGGTCCTCTCAACAGAAGGTTTTCAAGAGCACAGCTGACAGTTTTTATTACATATGCCACTACAAATATGAGCCTATTCAACTATGTTTGTAAAGAATGTTAATAGTAGAACCATATTGTGATGTGTGAGTTTATCGTTTCACATTAGAGCACAATGTTTTATTCTCATTATTGGAGGGATCCTGAGGAGCCTTCAAATAGCAACATTTCAGTGAACATTGAAAAAACCCCATTATACAACCTTAGATCTTAGATTTACCATTCAAGTATGTTCCTGTAATCGTATTTATTTCCAGTGGAAGTTAGTCTCCTTATCCTATTATTTCAGGTCAAGTGATTACAGCAGGCTTTGATAAGAAGATCATAGCTTGGGACATGTTTGGAGCAAAACCCCTTGTGTTCGTGAAAAATCTAGATGCAGAAGTGGAGTCAATGTCACTCTCTGGATTTGAATTGATAGTCGCGGTTGGATCATCAGTAGATATTTATGACCTGCGTAACCTAGACCAATCTGTTCAATCAAATGAATCTTGTATGGATGTTCCAATACGATGTGTCTCCTCAATTCCTTATTGTAAAGGTATTATTTCTTGATGTCGTTGACTCTACATGTAATGATGTTCTCTTCTGTCTCAAAATTATTTCTGATGAATGACCTATGACCAAACAACTAAATTTGAATTCCACATGAGTTAATGTGATGGATTTCTTTCATAATTCATAATCTTCAATATAACAGCTTTATGAGAGATAAGCAAATAAAAAAAAAATTCTGATATGGCTTTGAATTTTTTCTATACCGCCCTTAAAATTGATTATATGTTCATGCAGGATATGCAGTTGGATCGGTAGATGGACGAGTAAAGTTAGAGATTTCATATCCTTCCGTTTCAAACAACATGGGGTTAGTTTTGAAAACTGTTGAACTTTTGGTTCAATGTAGCATATGGACATTTGAAAATCATGGTCTGTGTCAATTTATAAATCCAATATATCTCATGCCTGCAGGTATATGTTCCGATGTCATCCAAAATCAAGAGACCGAAGAAACCATGTAGTACCGGTGAATGACATTGCATTCAACCCATTGTATGTGCACTTCAATCAGGATCATCTCATAGATAACGGACATTGTTGCATAATGGCATTTTTATGGTACTTTCTGTTTAGCATCTCAGGTGTTTTTGTCACGGGTGATAATGCGGGTTATGTTACTGCATGGGATGCCAAAAGTAGAAGAAGACTCTTTGAGGTAATCTTATCTGTTCCTTGTTCTGCCACTCTTAATAAGTACATTCAATTCCAAGGTTCACTAATCTGCTTTCCTCTGGTTACAGTTGCCTAGTTGCTCAAACAGTATTGCATCCTTAACATACAACCACGAAGGACAAATTTTGGCTGTTGCATCAAGCCATACTTATAAAGAGGCCACTGAAATGTTAGTTGTTCTTCCATTTCTTTTGCTTCAACCATCAAATATTTACACGATTCGATAACAATTATTATTTTGATATTGATTTTTTCATCGAATCATTTTGAATTCTCCGGTGGCAGAGAAAAACCCCCACAGATATTTGTGCATGAACTTGACGAAAGCCATTTGAGATCAGTTTCTGATGGAAGTTCAAGTACAAAATGATTGCACAAATCATTGTATGTACAACATTCTGAAGGCGCTTAGTTATTGATTGCTGGTAGCTTTCATTGCTTTGAAAATCAAGACTAATGCTATCTGAACCATGGTAACATGAACTTTTATCCCTTTGCTTATCTATTTTCAAATCACTGGCAGAGTTTGCCAAATCAATTCATGATTGTATTGTGTTTAAGTTTACATCACGGGTAAAATCTAGGGTTTTCTATTTCTGGTGTTAATGTTTATGGTTTTGTAATGTATACAGAGTTTCTGTTTTCCAGCTTGCTAATTGGCTTTTAAAAGAATTTGAGCCGAGTCGAGAGCAACAAGAAAAAACTTGAATTGAGCTCTATTGATTTTACTTCATTTTTTAGTTTAAGTTGTGTTCTAAATAATAATTGGCTTTATTTTTTATTTTAAATTTCATTACTTGTGCTTAAAAATGCTTTTTTTCAATACAATTAAAAATATATGTAATTATGATGTGAATTATTTGAGCTGGATCAAAGCAGTAATTAATCTTTGAATTTGGTATTCTTTTTAACTTGACTTTTGTTTTATTTTATCCACATTAATCTTCATATTTAGTAATTTTTTTATCCTTAAAGTCAGATTTTAATATGACCTAAATGTGATACTTCGATATAATATCATAATGTCACCTAATAATCTACTATATGTAATCTAAAAATAAATAAAAGGTATATAATTTTTATATTATTAGATGGTGATATGATATGATTATTTTGAATAGTATGAAATGATTATAAGGTAGTATTTGTTTAAGATCTTTTTAATCATTGACAATGTATGTATATCTTATGTATATAATTGTTCGAATCTGAGATCTTGATAAAAAATAATACTCTTTTTTTACTATTAAGAATGTTTAATAAATTTGATGTGATATTATTTTGAAGTGTCATATCATAACTTTGTCACGTAATCTAAGTAAAATGACTAAATTAAAATATATTTTGAGTTTTAGGATTAATGTTGATATGAAAATAATCAAGGATTAAATTAAAAAAATAGTTAAATTCAAGATTTAATTTATTTTATTGTTATTTGTCGTAATCGGTTTTCGTCCGGGCACGAATATATTAAATTTGGCGGGGAAATTGATGTGAATAAATGGTTTTGAAAATAATTTGGGAGTCGCCATCGGCCTTTTGGGTCAGGTAGGTCGAATACCTAAAATTTATTTTTTTTAAAAGAGTTTTAAGAAAATACCAATTAAAAAAATGAGCTGATCTGCGTTTATAACCAAAAATTCGTTCTTTTTAATAATAAAAAGGGATTCGTGGTCGATTACGTTTAGGGAAGGATTAGCACCCCTACAACGCCCAAAATTGGTACTTTTTAATTATAAATTGTCTCTATTATTGGAAATTTAAAAATTCAAAAATATATATTTATAATCTTATTATTTCAAAATTATATAAAAAATATTTATTTATTTAAAAATATTAGAAAAGAACTTCTAGGTACCTTAAGACAGCTCTTTTCTTTGATATTGATTAATTTAAATAATATTGTTTACTTTTTAATTTTAAAATATCAGAATAGGACATCCAGTTGTATTAAGACTGTCCTTTTCTTCGATATTAAAAATAAATATTTAAAAATTACTATTTATTATATATATATTTATGAATACATAAAAATATTTAATAATATAATAAAATAAAAAAAAATACTACTAAAACAATATATTTAAAAACAATAAATAAATGAAAGCATATAAAATAACTGACTAAATTACAATAAAAATAAAATTAAAAATCTAATTCATAATTAATCAAAATTATATGGATTAAATATGTTATTTCTTTATTTTATTTATTTAGTGACTAAAATAAAATTATCTAAAATTCGGATATTAGAATAAAATAAATTAAAAATATAAACTAAGGATTAAAATATTATTTATTAAAATTAAGGGATTAAATCTGTAATTTATCCTAAATATATTATTTTAATATGAAGGACTAAAATAAAAGAAATTAAAATTCGAAAATTGAATTAAAAATATTATAAATTCAATTTAGTGACTAAAATGTAAAGTTTACAAGTTCGGAGGACTGCGGACGGGGTTTAACTATTTTATAATTACGCGCATAGTCCTTCCCGAAACGACGTCGTTCGGGAAGGACTATAAAAGTCCAAAAACCGGCTGGCCCGAAGGGCCAGCTTCATTTCATCATTTTCCTTCTCTCTCTCTTCTCTGAGAGAGAGAATTTTTCTCTCGCTTCTCTCTAAAACAGAGAGAAGCCCAGCCGGCCGGCAGCCGTTAGCCGGCGTTCGTCCGCCGTCAACCACCGCCGCCGGCCACCGTCTTCGGTGGCCGGAAATTTTTTTTACATCTAAATATAGATCGGACCGTCCTAATGACGGTTCCGATGTTTTTTTTCGTTAAACGGCTCCCAATCGGAGCAAATCTAAAAGAATACCTTCGGCTTTTCGAAGGTTTTGGTGAGATCTGACGTTTGGACTCCTCGGTAAGTCTTTCTCCTCCTTTTTCTTCTGTTTTTGGTTGCTGGATGTTTGACTGAGATCGTTGGTTTAGTAGTTTTTTTTTCTTTCTCCGGTTCTGTCTCTCTTTTTTTTTTCTGTCTCCGTTCTTTTTTTTCAGGTTGGGGTGGTGGCTTTTATAGCCACCACCGGTGTGGCCGTCGGACCGGTCCGATGAGGGGGTCTCGGTGAGTCACCGGACTACCAGTGGTGACTCACCCCGTAGCCATGGCGTGGACGGCTGGTGTTCTAGCTTCTGGAGTCTTCGGTTGAGACGTGGCAGCGGCGGAGGCGGCGAGATAGCAGCGGCAGCCACGTGTCCCTAGGGTATCAGACCCTAGGGTTTCCATCTGGGGCAATCTGGACCGTTGGATCTCTCAGATCCAACGGCTGTGATGAGGCGGCCGGCTAGATTAGGGTTAGGAAACCCTAACTGGAACCCCAAATGTTTAGGGTTTCTGGTTTGATTTGGACCGGTTCTGGTTTGTTTGTAACTGGGCCGGTCCAGTTGTAATTGGTCTGTAATTATTTATTTATATATATTATTTAATATATTTTATTAATAATAATAATGATAATAATAATAAAATAAAATAATAATAATATAATAATAATAATAATAATAATAATAATAATAATAATATGGATAAAAATTAGTATCTTCAGCTGCCCCTCTTTGCTCATTCTTGTATTAACAAGAATATGGCAAAGATGAAAGATAATAATTTTTTTATCCATTTGGCTTTACTTTGATCATAATGGATATATTGAATAAATTCTTCTCTCTCTCCAGATGAGTTCTTCTTATTATGAACTTTCTCTAGAAAGGCTGATGCTAATCTATCTCCTTCTGTGATAGAATTATGCAAAAAGTTGAACAAGTTATTCTTATTATGAACTTCTTCTTTCTTCTTCATATGAGGAGTTCTTCTCATTATGAACTTTCTCTGGAAGAAATAATCCATCCAGTGATGAATTCAGATAAAAGGTTGAACAAATTCTTCTCATTATGAACTTCTTCTTCCTTCTTCAGATGACGAGTTCTTCTCATTATGAACTCTTCCTGGTAATGTTGATCCATCAAATGATGAATTCAAACCAAAAAATTGAACAAGTTCTTCTCATTATGAACTTCTTCTTCTTTCTTTTTCATATGAGTTCTTCTCATTATGAACTTTCCGCTGGGGATGATGCTCCATCAAGTAATGGATTCATGTAAAAGGTTTGAACAAATTCTTCCTTCTTTAGATGAGTTCTTCTCATTATGAACTTTCTCTGGAAAAGCTGATCCATCAAATGATGGATTCAAGTAAAAGGTTGAGCAAATTCTTCTCATTATGAACTTCTTCTTCCTTCTTCAGATGAGTTCTTCTCATTATGAACTTTCTCTGGCAAAAATAATCCATCAAGTGATGAATTCAGACAAAAGGTTGAACAAATTCTTCTCATTATGAACTTCTTCTTCCTTCTTCAGATGAGTTCTTCTCATTATGAACCTTCTCTGGAAATGTCAATACATCAAATGATAGATTTGAATCTTTGCTAAAATCTTTGAAATTCCTGTTAAAAATTCAACATAGATGAAAATGAATGAAAATGCACCTATTTTTGTAAACACCTAAAATATGATGCATGAATGTTAATTTATTTGATTTCAGACTGGTGAATTGAGTATTTCTTCAATTGTAAAAACCCAATAGATCTTTCTTCTTCAAATCAAAGAATCTATCATCTTTGACAAATGTAGATGTAGATATAATGTCACAAAACCTCTTGAGAATAAAACTCAATAGTATAAACTCTTGAAAAGCTTGCATTCAGGCAACATGTTGATTCTGATAACAACTCATCTGATTATGAAGTGACCTTTCAAGATGATTTCACAGATATCGATAGTTCTTTTAATACCGAGAAATCTTGAATTCTGATTCTGATGAGGAGAATAAACTGTTATACTTGACAAAAATGGGATTCTTAAAGGCTGAAGCTTCAATAGCCATGTAGAGATGTGTGGTCCAAATTCATCAATTGCAGAATTGGCAAATTTTATATGTGCTGCTTAAATGACTAAGGCTGCTGATGTACTTCTTCTAGTAAAAGATAGGAAGTCATTATGCAATGATCCCAATTACAAGCAAAGGCAAAACTTGGGCTATGCTTTTTGAAAAGGAAGAAGCAGAAGAAGCTTGAAAATAAGCTTCTTAATGAAGATGATCATGCAGTTCATCTTTCAATTCCAACGATCGGTTCTGGGGTTCCTACTGAATCAGATCAGATAACTCAAAGAACACTTCCAGAAGATGCTATGAACACATTCATCTTCCGAATTCAATGATTGGTTCTGCCAAACCAGATCAGATAACTCAAAGAACACTTCCAGAAGATGCTATTGGCAAATTCATCTTCTAAACTCAATGATTGGTTCTGCCAAACCAGATCATATAACTCAAAGAACACTTCCAGAAGATGCTATGAACA